AAATGTTAAGTTTGATAGATATAATTTGGAAATAGAATACAAGCAAAAGCCAATTATTGAAATGATTAAATTACTTTTAATAGTTTCTTAAAGATACGTAAGTTAATTGTATTCTGTGAATTTCTGTGAATATAGTTACTAGGATGGATAAGGAAAATCAAACTTGTACTAAACGTGTTGTGTTGTCTATAATCTGTTCAGAAAGAATTTTACCGTAAAACGGATCATGTGCTTAGCTGTGTTCTTCAACCATAACTTTAAATTAACAAGCGTGATTCCATTTGCAACAAAATGAAGCTGTTATTATCATTATAATGTAGCTAATTTGCAGCAATGCCGCATTCTGCACTCGAATGCAATTTGTAATTGAAATGCTTGTATCACGTTCGTTGCCGGCGTTGTTAATATTGGTATTATCTTTTAAAATTCTATTATATGTAGATCTTCATTAAAACCAACTGAAACAAACGAGAGAGAAGAATTACTGGTAATAAATTTACTGGTATAAAATAAATTTGATAAAATTTATATATAGGAAATAAAACTATTTTTCCGGATTTAAATCGCGTATATTTGTTTTTTCAAACAAACCGACGTTTCGGGCCCTTTGCAGGTCCCATGGTCACGGTTGACTGAGGTGATACAGTCTTTAACCAGTTATGTCTAACATTGATGCAAACCACCCTATTTTTTCGTCGAAACGTCGGTTTTTTTGAAAAAACAAATATACGCGATTTCAATCCGGAAAAATAGTTTCATTTCCTATGTGTAACAATCGCGAAAACCTAAAATTTATATAGATTGATAGCTACATAATTTTAATTAACGGGCAGATTAGTCCCTGAAATGGGACTTGCGTCTATTTACCGAATGTATTAAAAGACGTAAGTTGAGCGAAATAGGGGCTCCAGTCTATTAACACATCTGTGTGTTTCGCAAAGCCAGCTACAAAAACTGTAGATCAGGATCATGGTCATGGTCATGATAGGATCGTGATCTCCAAATCTGAGCTTTTGAGAGAGATCAAAAAGTTCTGTATAAATGACACGTCACAGCGGCAACCCGCCTTAACTTTGGGTAGTTAGCAAGTAACGAGCCAAAAGTTTGAAGAACATAGAAGTGTCTGACAACAGTACTGGAAATCTATCTTGTTGCAGCGGGGAGTCAAACAGGAAAATATTACCTCCTCAAAACTTTTCACTGCTACATGGGAACGAATTTTCAAAATTCTGGGCTAAAGGCTAGGCATCAACTTAAACGACGAGTACATCACTTAACTTTAGTTTGCTGACGACTTAGTGATCATGGCTGAGATCTTAGAGGACCTCAGGGAGGATAAAAAGGCTCAAATTCACAGTATAATGACGAGATTTACGTTCGAAGGTTCGCTGCGAGATCTAATGAAAGATCAGGATATAGGCAAAAGAACAATTGTTACCGACAAAACTCAAATAATTGCTATACTTAAGTGACACTGGGAGGGGGTACATTTTTTGTGAAAGATATGGCCGATGGACATGGATGGAAAGACGCTGCGTGAGCAGACCACTGTCAAAATAGACTCGTGTCCTGGTAAAAATTGCTTGAATCCACTGGATGTGAGCAATGCATGATCGGTCGTTGTAGCCATCTTTTGGAAAGACCTACGCCCAGCAATTAACGTCTTTCGGTTGGAACGATGAGGATGATTTAAAATTACCAGCGTTCTAAAACCGTCGATTACACTTTAACGTTTCGCTCAATACAAAAAATACATATCGGTCATTTGGTGCTACACTGACGCAATTGTACTTGTAATGATACAGCAAGTGGATTTGAATTGAATTTTTAATTTTATTTCAAATTTATGTTAATAAAACTTAGTGTGTTTTTACAGTACATATAAATTTAAAATTTCTACCGATTTTTATCCAAACGTAAATAAACACTTGTTACAGATGTTTTGACATACTGAAATAAATTTTGCCAAAATTTACAATTACGCCAATGCAGCATCAAATGAGCGATATGTTTCCGTGATAAATTCTGATAAAACCTGCCTTCATTGTTACGAGTAATATTAAAAAAAAATATTACCTCGAACCGGTTACTGTACTAAAAATTATATTATTTACATTTTATATTCCCTTGTTTACCTTGATAAAGTTATTGGCCTCAGTTAAAATTGATTTGATAAAACACTCTTATAACGCCAATAGCATAATTGTATTATGGTATTAGATTTATTGCAATTTAATACGCTATTGTGTAAAGAAGTAAAGAAAGCTTTTGATTATGATTTAACAAACACTCACATATTGTGACTGATACGGTACGGGGCTTAGATTTTTCACATACTAAAATGGCCCAGAATTTAGTGCGTGTAGACGTTTTAGGTTTCTTTCGATAGTAATGATGTTCTTAATATCGAAAATGCGTTACTAGGCTTGGCATGTAAGATCTTCCCCTATGCCTGTGAATATCACAGGCATAGGGGAAGATCCCTCTGGAAGAGCACTCCCAGCCTTCAATGGGTCCTCCCCAATTACCATATTTATCATTTATAAAAATATAGTTGTGTTTAGGTTTTGAATTGGTTCTCATACCTCTCTATTTATTATTGTCTATTAGCTCGCAACGTACTATTAGCAAAGTCGATGTGTTACCACCTTAAAGGCCCTTTTTACCTGCATGCAACAGTAATCAGTGGCGGCTACCATTAGCTTGCTTGTTATTGTCAATCAATGACGTTTAACAGCTAGATCATATTTTTATTATAAGCAGAAGGATTTTGCAAAAAGGAGGGTCATTAAGACAAGGGACGAGGCTAGCTTCAATCTGCTTTTAATGAAACTGCTTTGGGATTAAGGCTTGAACTTCTGATAATGTTGGTGGCTGGTGTATAAAACAAGAAAAGTATGATGCGTACGATCCGATTCCAATTTAAATTAAGAACATTTAAATTAATTGTTACAATGTCAGTTGTTGTAATATTATCTGAATTATTATGAACATGCGACAAAAACATTATAGCGATAAAACTACGCTTGTAACAACGTTTTGAAGGTTCAGCGAGGCAAATGATTGTTTGTGTTCAAATTAGGTTAATTGTCTACAACAGATAACAATAGCCTCAGTCATTAAGCCGAGAGGCTCGAAAATGGAAGAGATACTATTGTCAACACGGAAAATGTTACTCTATGTAAGGTGTATGTTTTATGTTCCAATTAGGTGATAACGAACGCAACTATGCCAAATGTGGAAATGTGGAATTTGGTAGGGCAAAATGTATATTTGTCTGCATAGTGGGAAGGTTATGACACTTAGGCAACCAGAAGTTGTTGAAGCAATTGAAAGGGCAAAAACAAATTACTTATTCCATATTTTCTTGAACGTTAATAAATATTGAAGTAAGGACGTAACAACCATTTTGTGCGTCACCGAACTACTTTAACGCAAATGCTTGAATGTCCTTACTGGATGTTTTCTTACAACGAGCGTTTCCTTTAAGGCTGCTAACGGACGGGCTGCATGTCTGCAGTTAATGCATGCAGTCGTGATCAATTACATGCAGTCAAGATTTCAAATATACGCGTGGGCTGCAGTCATTGGGAGCTGTAGTCCGAGAATCAAAAGCAGCAATTCATTACAGACATTCTTAAGAGGATATGATTTTTTGGTGTATGAATCGACTTAATTTTTTGTCAATAACTGCAAAACTACCTATTACTTGAGGGTTTATTCGACTTAATGATAAATCAAAAAACACGCTTAATGAAACTTTTCTTAATGTATTTACTTCATATTTTTCAATTTTTTTTTATAATGGCGCCTTTGTTTACATTTTTGATCGCAAATTCCACCACAGAGTATAATCGTCGGGGATTAACGACCAGAGTTTGTTGACAAATTAAAATGGAGGATTCCGATAGTGATAAATTATTATTTCTTTCCTTTTATGTTTATTTCCTTATAAAAAATAAAGCCAGCATTTAGAATCATTAATATTCTTAATACAGCGGCAAGCTACAAGTATCAGGTGCTTCCATTTCGATATCGACAAATACACTGAGTTCCTAAGCTAGGCGCGCGGCGATAACTGCTTTCAGTCAGTGTCGACTTCATGCAGTCTTTCCATTGCATACATTTGTATATGTCGATGTCTCTCAAGCAGTCTGTCTGGTTGTAACCATAGCATAATGAACTTAATGTTAATTGAGCAACGTACAAACGAGTCAAAAAACAGGTCGCCTCTTTAAGAGAATTCTGGCGTAGTCTCGAGAATACGAGTTTGTACGTTAGACAATTGATATAAAACTCATACAAAAATTTGCTTCCATTCCCTTCCGCGGTAATTTAAATTGAGCCTAAGTGTTTAGTAATCAGGTCAATTAATACACCTGACCTATCTTAACGTGGAAAATTTAGTAAAATAATACATACGTACTTATTTTATATTTATTAATTATTATAGGGGGGTGTAATCCTAAAAGAATGACATTTGTGAATCGAGTTCGTAGGTTTTCGTGATTGCTACGTATTCCGTTAGCAAGCACCATAGGACCTGTCCTGAACCCGAATCTGTGGCGTGCTTAAAGAAACAAATATACGCGATTTAGATAAAAAAAATAGTTTCATTTCCAAGATATTTGCTAAGTTGTGAGATAAAATAAATGGGCAATAATCCATACAATTTCCGCTTTAACCTACCTGTCTTTCCAGTCTGGTAGATTTGCTATTATGATATACTTACGTTATTAGATAAGGAAATTTTGCGTTGTTTATCCAGGGACCCGACTAAATAGCCAGTCCAAGAAATTGTAAGAAGCAAGTACGAATGAATGTGCGAAAATGAGACAAAAATTCAAGTGCACGTAATTGATAATACAATTTTATCTATACTTCGTTTAGCGTTATCTGGTAATATGTTATGAGTTTTTGCTACAATAGTAGTCATGACAGGCGAGATAAGGACATCTTTGCTGGTATCAGTCGTTCGCGGATTACACGGCCCGATGGACTGCTTCAGTGTGAAGATTTTGAGAAGTGCTCCAGCATGTTTACGTATGGAGAGCAGGCGCCTCAGACGTGTGCCATCGATGGCTTCCAAGATAATGGATGGATGCAGTGTGCGGTGAACCAGCAATGGCCGATGTCAAAAAACACGTGTTTTGTTTATCCCCCAGTGCAGTGTTACAACTATCCTAATGTGCCTCTGCCTCAACCACAGTACTATCCCATGCAAGAACGTCGTACAGATTACGTACAACATCCTATTTATCCAAATCTGCCTTGTCAGCAGACTCGACAGTGGGACTATGATAGCATGTGCTATAATGTTGACGGACAGCCGTGTCAATTCACAAGTGTCGTTGACTTGGAGGATTTCATGTAAGTTTTCTGTTTCAATTTCAAATCAAATTGGGACGCGTTTGTTTCTGAAATCCAATAATACATTCGCTGCTTTTCTTCGAATTTGCTTTCTGATTGATTTGTTTACTGTGAACTGTAGAAGCTTTAATGGTTTACATAATATTGTTTAATTGCTGGGAAAGTACTTAGTTGCAATTAACCTACTATTAGTTCAACTACAGATATCGCACGTTAAAGACTTAATGGTAACTTCTAAGTCACGTTGTGACAACGTGACTTTACCATGAAATAATTTAAAATTATGAATCCCAAAAAGATTTTAAAATATTTCTGTGACAAAAATAGCTTCCAAAACGTTTTAAATATGTATGTTGCAGCAACTGATATCTATGTACAAATTTCTTAACGCACAATAACCTTGTTTAAATCTTATCAATGCAACATGTGTATCGATAAAGTAATTTGAGTCTTATTGCCTGAATGTGCAAGGTTTATTATTGTAATATTGACGACTTTGAGCACTTTGTTGTCTATAAGTAATATCTTCGATTGTCCTTCTGGGCACCGGCTTTTTTACAAGACTTGGTAAGACCTCTTTCGATTATCTAAGGCATATGTGTATATGCCCGTTACATTTTTAACTTATTTATGTGACCAGTAACACTGTCTGGAACTTGTCCAAAGAGAGTTCATCACCTGATCGAAGCACGTGAGTTCGGACAAAACTGTAAGAAAATTTATGTTATACATTCACTTGCTCAGTTGATTTTTAAAGTTTGTTACAGAAGGCTTAAAAGTGGTTATTAACACTCAAAACAAGCGATTATGTCTATTGTTCAGTACTTCAGAATACCGTTTAAGCCGTGTGAAAAAGAAAGTGAATTCGCAATTAGTTAACAAGAATTTTGCTTCATTCCGTGAAACAGGCCGTTTGAATTAAGTCTAAAGCCATATTTACAAATAATAGAAATGTAAAAATATCTAAAAAAAATACTATTATGAAAACAAAAGACAAAAGAGGCGTGTGATCCATCAAGCAAAACTGAGTACAAGTCTCCAATTGCCCGCGAAGCGATGTCGTGATAACCTTAATTCTGCGACTATTTAACCTTCACACGTACCATGTAAGTATAATCGCTTGAATTCATTGCGATTAACGATGCATAGGGTAACTTAAGAAAAACTGCACAGGAGTGCACCATTTGTGCCGTTAGGAACTTACATACTGTTCGAAATGTACTGTAACACATTACACATACTCCCCGAAGCGGTGTGTCTTCAACTGGATTAATAGTTTATTGATCGAATTTTGATGGTTTTTTAAGCAAATATTTAGTAAATTGAGGAAAAAATATTTTTATTCTCGACCATTCTTTTTTTTTAATATTACTTAGTAATTGATAGTTTGTGAATGCCAATATCTCCTGAGAACATCCTGATTGCTCAAAATATGATTTATTTATTTCGAAAATACTGCTTTATATAAAAGTTAATAGTTTGAGCCGGAAGATGGAATGTTTTGTGTAGATGATACTTTTTGAAACGCTGGAAATTAAGTGTAATACGAATTTAAGGTGATGGACGGGTGCTATTATAGGCCAGCACTCAAGCCACGGATGGCACAACGAGGTCTTTAAGGCAGAACTGCCGGCAGGGATTTTTCTTGGGAGATTTGTAAAATAAACCCGAGCTGTCACAAGCTTTGCCAGTTTGAAAATAAAACGTTAGTTTTGACCTTTTTTTTATTAAAAACATAAGTTCGCAATTGATCTCCAACTCATTTGATGGAAAGTGAAAAAAAAATGACGATGAAGACGAGGATTGTGCATGAACACCTAAATAATGCCTATTCACTCTCGCCTTGAAAAGATCTGCAAACAGGGAATTCCACTCCAAATCCGTTCGCCGTACAAACGTGGACACGCTTTCTTCCAAATCCTTGAAATATCCACAACATAGGGGTGAAACCCGAGTCTACGTCTAGTTCCCCGATGATGGAAAGGCTGAACTCAATCGTACAATTAATTCCCTTGCACATTCTCCATGATATATCCTATACAATACCGCCTTACCCTCTCCACACGGGCAACTCATCATATTCAGCAATGAAGAAAAAATGTAACAAATCCTATTACAAACAGAAGTGTAATTTTCACATCTGATCAACAATTTCCTTTTCTGTTACAAAAAGTAATATTATCTCTTTCCGGGTCTCCAAAACAACTACATTAATTAAAATATTTTTTATCAAGTGTACCCAATAAATAATTCTACTAACATGATAAAAGGCACACAATATGCAGTAAACATTGAAGTAAATGAATTGATGAAAAGTCACTTTTTCACTTCCCATACACAATTGTCAGAAATTTCATTCTACTGTACCGCTTACCGCGATTTCACGATATTTATCCGTTCAGATGCTGAAGCGTTCGCTCCTCCGACATTGACCTAAATTCGCTTGTGACGTTTGTTATCATCTGCTAATAGCGGCAAGATCTGTACGTACTTGGTAATTTTAATATTTTTTGAAACAAGCTACAGGGTCAACAGCACGACCAGCTTGACACTTGAGATTTAAATTTAAAACTCATGACGTAAGAATAGTCCAATCACATTGTCAAGCGTGATGTGCTTGTTTAAAACGCCTCGATTCTAGATTAGATTTCAAGTCATCTGACCTTGAATAGATATCTTTTTTTACATTTAATCAAATTTAATGTTTATAAAACCAAAATTTGGAATGATTTTATCAGCGTGTATATGTATTATATATTTTCAGCTCTTACATAGAGCCTTAACTATTTAATCGATTTCGGCTTTAGTTTGATGTAAAAACTACTCCTCCATTGTGCGTCTATTATAGGTTTTTTTTAGAAAAATCTAATATGGCATCGATAAACGTGAGTAAGACTAACATAACAGAATATTCATGGAATGTAGTGGTTTAGTAGCGTTCGTCCAAGGTAGTACTACCAATTTCTGCCGCCAAGCAGTAATGTCAGCATTATTGTGTTCCGATTTTGAAGGGTGTAAGGGTGCTAGTGAAATTACAGACACATGAAACTTGTTAACTTATGTCACAGGGCGACGGGCGCAGTGGCAGTGCCCCTCAGATCTTTGTGATTTTAACTCTGAGTGGCACTGCAACTGTTATGGACAGGCGTGTAACTTACCGCCAGGCACACGACTTGTTCATCCCGTTGCTGGATATTATAAAAAAATGGAAAAGGAAAAGATCTTTTCGACTCTATTGTCTTTTTCAAAATAAAAAAAAAACAAAGGAAACAACAACTAATAAAGATTCATCTAATTGTTTCTGAAACATTACAAAAACGTTAGTCTAAATTAAGTTTAAGGTTATCGATAGTTCTAGGTTTTCGAAATTTTTTTCGCATCTAAATCGTGTTTGTAATATGTGTAACGAATTACATATATTGATGCTTTTGGTTACCTATTTTTTACAAAAATTCTTTCATTACGTCCATTTGAGTATTTGCTTATAGCACTTTCATTGCATATGTATATTCTTCATTTTCAAATATAGGTATGCTCCCGGACACATAATTCAAGTATCTTGCATTTCAAGTGAATGCCTTCAAAAAGTATTATGCAGTGTTTTATCTGGTATACCGAACGTCGTTCACATAAGTCCTTGTTAAAAAAATTTAATTTGTGTAACCGAGGAAAACGTTCTTCGATGAAAACAATATTTTGTACAAATACAACGTGGCTGGAATTATGTGTCCGGGAATATATTATGTTCAATCGTTGAACTTCGTCCGAAAAACGTCATGAATCATCCCACATCAAGAGAAAGCTCTATTTGTTAACATTACATCACATTTTCCGACACCTATTCTCGACCATGTGTACACAACCTTCGAGAATTGCGTTAACATAATTTATAAAATCTGGTACCTGTCTTGTAACACTTTCTCTTCTGCAATGAATTTTGTTTTAATTATTTCATTTTATACTTCGATCCGTATTAATATAATATCCAGACCAAATATTGGATCGATGAGAAGTTGAGCCAACTGTCTTTATTCATAAATATGTTTATTATTATATTTAAATGCACATCAATAAGCTATGGTAGTCTGGTGGAGGAACGGTTGTTCTCCTTTGAGACTTTGGCCTAAGCTCTGTGGAAGGTGCTGCTTGTGCTGGTGGCGTTCTGGTGGATTGTAATAGTATAGCCTGCATAGCAGTAATAGCCTCCGCAGCCCCCGCAGCCTCCTTGTTACATTTTACTTAGTAAGTTTAGCAATTCAAACGTTGAAAGTCCAGTGGTATTTACTCGGTTTTAACAAATATAGTATAATCTGTACACTGTAAATGTAAACTGTATAAATATAACTAGCAAATGATTCAAAAAGATAAATAGTGGTACGTTCGCTACCGCAGTCGCGCAGGGAGTGACGATGGAAGGAACAAAATCAGAATGCGAGGTAAAAATGGAACAATTTTAAATTTTAAATTTAAATATGAGTAGAAGTAAAAACGATACGATACGAATGGAGAGAGGCGATACAAAAAGGTGGGATGACGGTATAAGGAGGTCACACCGTCACAGCTCTGTCCTTAGAAGAAACCCTAGTCCAGCAGCTTAATGGATTGTCTATCCTGCCGTCCTTATCATAAACAACGTAATATCTTTATTATTATTTTTGAATGCACATCAATAAGCTATGGTAGCCCGGTGGAGGAACGGTTGCTCAACTTTGAGACTTTGGCCTAAGCTCTGTCCTTAGAAGCAACCCTAGTTTAGCAGCTTAGTGGATTGTCTATTACAGCACATCAATGGTATTGTAGTTGACCATTATTGACGTAGTGATGATTAAGGCATATTTTATATTTGGATGCTATTTTCATGTATAAAAAAAATTTCATTTTCATTAAGTCGTATCATTTCAATTAATATTGTATACAAAAAATTGAATGTGGGTGACTTTTGCGCCGATAGCCTCAACTTATGTGTCTATAAAATATGTAGCACATGCAAATTATCATTA